CAACTGGCCAGAATGGTGTGGTCAGAGTGTGGTGGGCTTTGAATGGCAACTTTTGCTTTTTCCAACCAGTGGGAACCATTTGCAGGGGCAGGAAGCCGGACCAGAGCTCTAGAAGGCTCCTGGCCCCGTTCCAGGGTGTCTTTTCTTCAAGTGCTGGAGGCTGGAGGCAGGTGCGGAAAGAATGAGTGTCTGGGGACAAAATAGCAGACATGAGGATGGATCAGTAGGAGAGAGGAGGGAGGGAGAGGGGACTGAGAGGAAGGAAGCTAGGGCAAATGAGAGAGAGAGAGAGAGAGAGAGAGAGAGAGAGAGAGAGAGAGAGAGAGAGAGAAGGAGGGGGAAGAAGGGAGAGAGGGAGGTGGAGAGAAGCAGAGAGAAAGAGAGAGAGAGAGAGAGAGAGAGAGAGAGAGAGAGAGAGAGAGAGAGAGAATGTGTGTGTGTGTGTGAGAGAGAAGAGAGAGAGAGCGAAACAGAGACAGACAGACACCCAGACACCATCTGGGTCATGTGATGGGAGAGTGGAAGGCGCCAAAGGAATCCCAGATGATGACTGGCTGGCTTCTTGCTCTAATCGCCAGGGGGGAAAAGCAGGCTATTAGCACAAAATTAGTGGCTCTCTTCCTTCTGCACCAGAAGGCTACCCATGCGGCCCGGTACATCCTTTTATTCCAGCCTGGCTGGACGGGGCGGCCGGCTCCCAGGCTGAGGCTGAGGCTCTGGGACTCAGAGCTGCATTGCTGCACGGCGTGGGTTCCGGGAGGCCCCAGCCTTCAGGGGCCTCAAGGCCGGTGCTCCCGCCCAGCCTCCTGCGCCCCGCCCAAGCCCCAGCTCGGCCTGCCTTTGGCCTGACAGGGCAGTGGGAAAGCCAAGACCGTCAGAGGCGGAGGGGAGCAGGCAACCGAGGGCCTGGGTATGGATGGAGGCGGGAAATGGCCCAGACGTGAGGAAAGCACGAAGAAGGAGAAAGAGGCCAAAGAGAGAAGGCCGGCAGGGCGGGCTGCAGCGGACCCCGGCTCCCGGGCCTTGTTCAGCGGCTGGGCCTCCGCCTCCCTGGCGCCTCCCGCCTGGGTAGGAGGAGCCACAGCGCCACCCAGCGGTCGGTGTCCGGGAAAGGCAGTTAGGGCTTTTCCGTTGCCCCGGAAGAGCTGGGAGCTGGGTGGTACAGAGCCCAAGGGAAGCTCCTGTAGGAAAAGTTTGTGCAAAGACTTAACAATTTGTGGTTGATGAGCTTTCTAAACCAGACCCTTCGTTTGCTTCATCCACCAATCCATCCAGAAAATGGCACTACTTGAGGCTTACTTCAGGTCAGCTGACAATCTTTTTCTCAGGCTCAACAGTCTTCCATGGCTGCCAATGGGCCACGATGTGAAGCCAGCTCAGATTTCCTGGTCTGACTGGCCTTCAAGGCCTTCCATGTTTTTACCTTAGGCAATCTTTCAAGCTCATCTCTTGCAGCCCACTCTACACATTCTAAACCACTCTCTTGCCCAAATGAACTACTCTTACCACCTCCGCATTCATTCATTCTGTGGGTGTTGACTAAAGCAGTAAAGAAAGGACAAAAAAATGACAACAAGGTCCTTGTCTGCCTTAGAGATTCCATTCAAATGCAGAGACAACAAACAAGATGTAAAAACCAGCAAAGCAGATGCAAAAAACCATTGTCCCGTGTCCAGTTAGCATTTAACATGCTCCTTGCGGTCTAGATGGCATAATAAGCAGGGTGGCGCGTTAGAATATTGGGGTAAGAAGGGTACTATTATGCACTGAGTAGTCAAGAGAAGCCCTCTGGGAAACTGACATATGGGCTGAAACCCGATCATGAAGAGTTGGCCTTGGAAAACTCTCAGGAAGAACATTTGAGCCTGAGGAATTCAAACATAAGCTCAGCATAGCAGAGAAAAAGAAAATGGGTGGCATGACAGTAAGTGGGGTGGGGGGAGTGATGAGGAAGGAGCAGACAGACAGTTGCCTCTGGCTGATGAACCATCGAAAGGAGTTTAGATTTTATTCTATGTGTGATACGAAACAACGGAAGTGGTTAGCAGGGAAATATGGGATGGTTTTCATCTTTAGTAGATTTCTGAAGAAAGGATACAAGCTCAGAAACTGAAAGACAACTTCCCCACACCCCTACAGCATTTGTTGTCAGTTATTTTGTTGGTCTTTGCCATTCTGACTGGGATAGGATGAAATCTCAAATTTGTTTTGATCTTCATTTCTATATTTACTAAGGATGATGAACATTTTTCGAGTTATTTCTTAGCTATATTTTTTTTGTCTTTTGAGAACTCTCTGTTCAAATATCAGGTCCATTTTTTTTGGATGAGTCATTTGTGAGACATGTTTGACTCTGGACTAAGAGTCACTAGTGACCTGAACTAGGTGACACCAATGGGCATAGAAGACATTCTCAGAATTTAAAGGCATTTTGAGAGACTTCTCTTCAAGGCTTTCTCCCTATCCATACCCGGAGCTCTTGAGGGAAGATGCCATGTCAGAGTAACCTGTTGACACTCATCCTATGCTCCAAGGCAGTTAGCCCCATGGCATTCAATACTAAGTGAATAGATTTCTGTGTGACGCACCACATTGCGTGTCACAAGCGGGACAGACTTTGAGCCTGTTGCTGTGATGGACTTCTGTCATTTTCTTTCTTTATCCCTCAGTGTCTTCTGTGCCAGCAACTGGACCCAATGCTTTCACTTATGCTACTTTGAGTTGTTCTTTATTTAATGCTTAATCTCATCCCTTTGTTTTAGAGACCAAACCCAAAAGGAGAAAAAGGAGTCTATGGCTGTTGGGTAGAAAGTCAAAGTCATCATAGCATAGAATGGTCACTATTTTGAGTCTACATAAGCTCTTCTTCCTGCTTATTGTTTATCTACATCCATTATGCTAAAATTGTGTTTTTAATTGTTGTGTTGCACTGTATAGCTCAGTGCAAGTGAACCTCGGGGTGAAGTTGCAAGTCTTAAAGAAGATTCAAGCTTTCGTGATGTCAAGGAAAGTGATAATGGAGACCATTTCTAATGTCACACAAAACCCTTGCTAAATGGAGGCTTGGCAATGATAGACCCGTTAGCTCCCATTGGCAAACTACCTGGGTAATGACAGGATCAAGGTTTCAAAGAGAACAACTCAACTCTCAAAAGGAATAGAAGTGGTCCTTTGGATAATTGAGGAAAAGCTCTCTAATTTTAGAAAAACAAAACCTTGCTTATGACTGTGACGCAAAAGTCAACATTGTGCACTTCGCCCTGGAAAATTGTACTATCCTGCAACATTTCGAGCCATTTTTTGTTCACTCTAAGAATTAGTACCCGTTTTCAATTGTGCACACATTTTAAGTAAGAAATTAAGAGCTTTTCAACATGTTCAACCTCATTTCCCAAGCTCAAGTTCCAATCAAGGCTTTCCCTTTTCTCTGACTCTGCTGTGAAATATCCGTCCCCACTGCAAGCAGCTTCATTGCAACTTTTCCTAGCACCACTTCTCCTGAGATAGCAGGGACTTCAGGGACCTACGCAAACACCTCTTCTCTGGGGCCAACCAGGCCGGCTTGCACCACTTGTGGAGTTTGTTAAATAATGCTAAAGCTGGGCCCCTCACCGCACACTAATTACATCAGACTCTTTGCTGATGGGGCCTGTGCTAACATTTTCCAGGTGATCATGGCGCATTGCCAGGGCTTCAGACCACTGAAGTCCTCCCTGCCCCACCCCTTCATGCTGTGCCAAGAGATGGAGGCAGGCTGTAGTTGCACTGACCAGAGGGAGGGTGTCAGAGTCTGGGTCGAGATAGAGGGGTGCACAGAGAGAGGTAGTTGCAGGGTGATGCTGGCTTGTTTCAGGAGTCAAAGGGTGGCATACAGCTTGTTGAGCTACTCGTTTGGCACAGCCATTGTACCCTGTACTCCCTTTATGCATATTTCCTACCCCTTGACTTTTTGTGGGCAGTAGCTAATAGAGAGTCCATCTCTCTGCCCTATGCCCAAGGCCAATAGAGCTTGGACATGTGTGTGGTCAATGCATAGTGAGCATATTATGGTTTAAATAAAAAAAATCATGTTGTGTGTCTAGAATGCATCTATCCTGCTACTGCCAGAGTCCAACACCGTCGACATATTGTAATTCCTCCAAAAGTCTATTTTGAACCAGTGTATGAGTTGAACACAGGCAGGATGTGATATGCACGACGATTAAAGTACAAAGTGTTATTGAAGTACAGGGAAAGATTATTTCCTGCTAGAGAAAAGAAAGGATGTGAAAGTGTTCATGGCAGAGAATCCGCAAACAGGATTTTGAAATCTAGCTAAGGGAGAAGATATTCCAGGAAGAAGAAACAGAGGGGAGCAAAGGGCAGGAGGTGAGAAGGTGGAGGGCTCATTCAGGGAACAACCCATGGTGATATTTTGCTTATGGTGCAACAAAGAAAGCTTGCCTGGAGATCAGAGTGTGAAGCTAGCCACTAGTTAACCACAGAGGCCAGGCGGTGGTGGTGCATATCTTTAATCCCAGCACTTGTGAGACGAGATGACAGACAGATCTCTGTGAGTTCAAGGCCACCCTTGAGCTCCTGTCTTAATAATAAAAACCCAGAGTCAGATATTAGGGGGTGAAAGCTGAAAGATCAGAGAAGCAGAGCAGCTAGCCACTAGTTCTTACCTCTATGAAATCCTCAGACCAAATGGGGTATCCTGTCTCTACAAGTCCTCAGACTGAACGCCTTGAAGTTCTTACCACTACAGACAGATTGAGCCTGTGTTTTTCCTCGGCTTTGTTACAGTTACCAGCTGACCACTGCCGGGGAGAGTTTTGTGACCTTCTTGCCTAGAATGGTACACTACAGAATCTGCCCCACCCTCTGAGATTTAAACCACCTAGAGTGTTGGCCTCCTCGGGCCCATTGTCTGCCTCAGACTTTAGACTGCATTCTAGGGCAGCGAGCTCGATTCCACGGTATAAATTCATGAAGAGAGACTTATCAACTTTTACACCATTTATTTCTTTAAGGGGGATAAACAAGAGCAGAGAGCTCACTGCCCCACAGCGCAACAAAACAGAAAGCAGTACATACACAGACACTCTCACTGAAACACAGAGGCAGGGAAGAGGGCAGAGACAACTGAACCATAGCCAGGGGAAGGAGGAAGGGCTGGGAGACTACTAGGGAACCAGCTTGGAGACTCACTTAGAGGAACTAGTGCAAGAAGATCCTACTAATGAAGCACAGTGTAGAAAATGGCATAAGAAAAGCCGCCCAGCTCTGCTTCCTGTGACGGAGGGCAGGGGCAGCCAGGGAGGTGGAGGAAGGTCGGGGGGGGGGGGGAGGGAGATGGGGACAGTCAAATGACTTTGAGGTGGAGTGTGGTGCCCCTTTCCCCTGCCACTGGGCAAGGCCTTGGGCTGGTCTGAGCCAGGGGTCTCCAGGGCACTTGGTGAGGGGGAAGAGAGGATGGGAGTCTCCAAGGGTCCATTCCCTGGGACCATGTTGTCCCCCTTTGCTGCCCAGTCCTGTTTCCCCTCCTGAGGATGCAGGAGTTAGAAGGCAGTCCTGGGTCTCTCTGGAGCTTAAAGCCTCCACCTTTCTCTAATACATAAGCACATCTGGGAAGGGTCCAGCACCTCTTACCCTCCCCAGCTGAAAAGAGCACTCTAGGGATGGGGCATGTGGCCAGACCCCAAGTGCTGAGGGCCCAAAGATGGAGGACACAGGGTCCAGGCAGAGGACAGGCTGTGAGATATGAGTAAACCGGCAGAGAGAAGGGCTCCATAGGCTCATGAAGCTGAATTGGGATCCAACCACCGCCCTCGGATGAAGAAACCCTTTTTGACTAGGGAGGCGTCCATCCATCCTAAAGCTGGCAAGATGCAGCTCCTCCTTCCCTTGCCCTCGCCTGTTTCTCTGTAATGCTGCCCCACGGCTGTCCTCCTTTACTCATCATTTTGATCTCTGAAAGCCCCTGGCCTGCCCCATAAAGAATCCGGTTCCTGTTCTTGTCAGCTTCCATTGGCTTTTTGGCGCCCAGGCAATGTGGCCTACCTTTTCCTCAGATCAGTGCAGGCCAAGGGCTTCCGAGCCTCATCTCACTCACCCTTCGAGACTGAATGAAGGTTCTCAGCCAAGGGTCAGCAGCAGCACATTAAGTATTATCTCCAGGCAGAGGCCTCTTGCCAGTCTCTGAACTTTGTCCAGCAAGGGCAAAGGGTGGCTAGAGAAAGGGACCCGCTAAAAGGTGAGGAGGAGACTAGCTGTCCCTCAGTGGGACAATAGGCTACAAGGTTAGGGATGGGAAGGGATGAATACTCTTTGGTAGGCTGGGGATGGACACAGGTTGGGTTAGGGAAGGCTCATCTCTGGAGAGCTCTGGGGCAACGCCACCAGGTTCTCCTTCATGGAGGCCTGGGCTAGGACAGGATGGGGGAGTGTGGGGACCCAGGCCAGGCCTGACACACTTGGGCTCAAGTCCCTCCTCCCTATGGAGATTGGAAATGAAAGGTCTGTGGCCACAAGGCCAAGATTTCCAGGGCAAGGGCAGCCCTAGGGAGTGTGTGCACCTTCTGTGAGATATGTCCCTCCAGATAGCGGCAGTCCAACATGCGCCCTCAGCCTTCTGGGTTTTGGCTCCTGGGCTCTTTCCCCAGGGGCCTCCTTGTGCACCTCATTCTGATTTAGAAGACCTTTCTTGAGCCTCAACGCTAATTGCCCACCTTCCCAGAGACAGGTGGCAGTATTCAACCATCTCCTCATGCTCTCTGTCCACCTCTCTCTCCCCTGTCTTCTTCCATTCCCTATCTTCCTTCTCTTTTACCACCCATTCCATATCCGGTTCCAATCCCTCATTGCCTAGGATGGTGGGGGCAGCTTAACTGGGGCATCTTCCTAGCTGTGGCCCTGTGGGCCTCAGGCCCCCATCTGATGCTTCTCACTGTGACGGCCCCACACTCAGGGTGCGCTGAAGTGGCAGGAGGGCGACCACACTGTCTGCCGTCACCTGTAGGGATACGGGCAGGAGGGAATTAAGGATCTTGGCAACGAAAGGAATGAGGGGGGAGAACTACTCCCCTCTGTGCCCCCCAACATTCCATGCAGAGATGAGGCTGGGGTAGGCAGCCTCCTTCCCTGGGGTCAGGGCTCTTGGCAGGAGTGGGCAATTCCAGCTCTCACTCCCCCACCACTTTTCACTAAGCCCTATGGGTGGGGCTTGGGGGGGGGCACCTGCTGCTCCTACCTTTTTCTCCAGGGTGAGTTTTACAGCTCCTTGTGGGCCTTCTGGCCATTCTATTGGAGCTGCTTTTAGGGAAGGGGTAGACTGGGGACAATATATGGTCCCCCATTTCTCCCCCAACCCACACCTGGTCCTACATTTCCCGTGGGAGGTGCTCCCTCCCCCCCAACCTGGGGCAGGGCTGGAGCTGATGTCAGGATGTGGTGGAGGTCACTCTTCCTCTAGGGCAGGCAGTGTCTCCAGCCCCAGTCCCCCGCCACCCTGGCTGCTAGAGAAGGACACTACGGTATGGACAAGTATAAGAACAAGGAAACAGAGCCGGATCCTGCTGGGACTGAGGCAGGAGCCCCCAGAGACCGGCAGCAGGGAGGGTTTGTTGCTGGCACGGTTTGGAGGTTCATGGCGGGGGTGGTAGTGTTGATACTGTTGGGGGTAGTGGTGGAAAAATGAATGGTGAAATTGCTGGTGGTGGGTTTTGGGGTGCTCAGAGTCCTTGAACTTCTTCTTCTCCGACTCACAGGAGACCCACTTCACGTCACAGCACTTGGTTTCCGGCCGCTTTGGTGAAGTATCAACCAACCCTGCCAAGGGATAAGGAAGGTGTGTGTGTTGGGGGGGGGGGCGTGCTTTGGGGGATCATGGCTCTGCCTTATCTGAAAGGGGATGTTCAAAGTTGAGGCTCAGGTAGCCCTACTCAAGAAACCCTCCCTTCCAGCCCTCACATCTTCCCTTCTAAGATCTCTTCTTCCAGGGACTACGCAAGTTTCTCCAGAGTGACTTGTGGCTCAGTATATTCTGAATAGATATGGTCACTCTGGTCTTTTTGTCATGTTCCATTGGGCCCTATCTCAAATTGGGGACCTGATTGCCCACTCCTCTTGCCACTGACCTCCATCTAGCCTGACTCCCCTTAATGCCTTTCTGTCCCCATGCCCCTAACCCCTTTCACTTCCTCCTTCTTCCCCAGGGCCCTGAGTTTACCTGTACAGATAAAGCCAGGGAGGCCTCCGTACACCATCTCTGCGTTGTCAGGGAGGATAAAGGGGCACCGGGTCTGCACCTCCAAGCAGTATTGCTTGCAAGGCACCCAGCTCTGGCATTCCTGTTGGGTCACACTGAAGTATTCTGAGCACAGCCAGGCCTTGTAGACAGCCTGTGGAGGAAAGAAAACAGCGTCAGCCCCTGTGTCATGTGGGGGAGGGGTTCTTGTGTCTCCCTATGCGGCTAAGCCAACTTAATCCCAGAGTTTGGAGGAGGCCTTGTTAGAAGTGTCTACATCCCAGCCTAAGATGACCCATGTCAAAGCCAGGGCTCTTGAGTTCTCTAATTCACCACCATTGAAAATCTAGAATTGTTGGCCAAAATCACAAAATCAATCCTATGTCAGAATAGAAGGAATGTTCCTAATCAATTCATCCCGCTCTATCATTTTACACTTGGTTCAAAGAGGCGTTTTGATCCCTCTGAGGTTCCCTATATGTAATGAAGCAAATCTCAGTTCCATTCAACTTGATAAACATTTCCTTTGTTTATGGTGGTAAGCTTCTAAGTTCAAGAAAGAGATGAGAACAATTAATGCTCTACCTCATTGGACTACTTTGGACTACATAGTATGGCACATATGAAAATGTTTTATAAACGCTAAAGGGCAATACAAATGTGAGGGGTTATTTTTAATAAAAACTGTAATCTGCCTTTCCAGGCACCACATGTGTCTTTGAGCTCTACTTAATCCAGGCTTTGTCTTGTTGGCTTCAGCCCTGGTCTGGACAGACATCATGGCCACTGCTCCATTGCTCCTGGAATCTTTCTTTGTGGTTTCACTCCATCTGTACTCTCTTTCCTTTATCTAGGCTACTCTCACCCCAGGCCGATTCTAGTGAGAAAGTTCCCCTGCTCTATACCTTGTCTCTCCTCAAGTCTATGCTTCCTCAGAAAAACTTGAGGCACTTAGAAACAGATAATCATTTGTCTTAGGGCTTGTGCTGTGCATTGAAGGGTACTGAGTAGCATTCCTGGCCTCCACACATTAGACACCAGTAGCAGTGTCTCCTCTTAAAGAATGTCCCCAGCTTTAGTCCAATGTCTCCTGGAGGAAGCCAAAGCCACCTTTTTGGAGATCACCATAATCTCTCACCTGGATAACAGATGCCTCCCACCCCCACTTTTGCTTGTTCCAATCTACTGTGCGAGAATAAGAGTGGAATCAAGCTGCTATCAAATTATGTTACTCCGGTGCTTCAGGCCCTGAGATGCATTTAGACTAAAAGCCTAATATCTAAGCACAGACTTCAAAGCCCTGCAGACCTCTGCCCATCTCTCTCCAACCTCATTTTCTATCTCTCTTCAAGCCCATCATGCTGCACAAAGCAGGTTTTCTTTTTCTTGAACGTGCCCTACTTCTTTCTACCTCTGGGCTTGGCACACATGATCGCCTGGCTTGGACTGTTCCTCACCCGACTGTTGATATACATGAACCCTTTACATCTTTCGGGGCTCAGGTTAAATATCCCTTCTGCTGAGTGTCTCTTTCAGTACTCTCAACAAAGGACACAGCCCTAATTATTCTTAACTGTTTATTCGCCACAGATGCTACTTGGTCTGCATCCTTGTTTTCGTTTCTGTTGGCTCCTCTAAACTGTGAGCTGCATATAAGATCTTTATTAACCACCATGCATTCAGTGCAATATACATTTTAAAAATCTCATGACTGAATGAACAGGATAAGTTAATGAGGACAGGTCCCTTCCCCCATGAAAATTCCAGTTTCATAAGCAGACATACCTAACAATCTGTGACATACGATTGATTCTACAACAAGAGTTGAACGATGGTTCCTGGTAGCTAATAGTATACTGGGAAAAATTTCAATGAGGAGACAGCAGCTGAGATTGGGCGCTATGAATAGGGTTTAATTAGTAGAGTCCTTGCACAGAGTGCACAAAGTTCTTGGCTCGATCCCCTAGCAAGCCATAAGGTAGGTGTGTTGGTACCTTATGTGTGGTACGGTAATCCATCCCGTATTCAGTCCCTAGAACTGTACAAAGTAGCTATGGTGGTGTGCTTGTAATTGCCACATTTGGGAGGTGGAGGCAAAAGGATCAAGAGTTCAAGGTCATCTCTCTCTACATAGTGAGTTTTGAGCTCCTGTGTAAAAAAAAAGCCGTCAAGATTGGACTCAAAGAAGGATTTTTAGATAAGATGTGCCAACAAGGCGACAGTTTGAGCGAAGATATAGAAATGAATGAGTACACATGGGCTAGGAGAAGAGAATGGCTTCAGATGAATGGCATGGACATCTGAGAGTTCCTTCTAAGTGCTGACCATGGGAACAGTGCTTCACCGGATATCTTTACAGACATGTCTAAGTCTAAGGCACGTGTCTTCGGTTTTATTTATACAAACTCCTGAGATGAGACATATATCCAAAAGGAGGATAGTAGATTCAAAAAGAGAGTGACAATGAACAGGCAAAGGTAAGAAGAAGGGAAGGAGCTGGAAGGGTAAAACAGGGCAGTAAGGAAGGCGCTTAAGGGCTAAGAGGAAGTGGCAGTGGTATATGTAGTAAAAGAGAAGGTCGTAAGGAAGAGGATAATAAAAAGTAGGGGTGCACAGGATGAGAGATGATAGCAATCACCAAGGTAAGATAACAGTTGGGAATAAGAAGAGAAGGAGAGAGAGAGAGATGGAGGGTGTGCATGGGGTACACAGGGTAAGAGTGAGGTGAATGTGAGAAAAAAGTAAAAAAGAGCAGGAAAGTAAACTCAAGCAGGGGCAGAAGGGGTAAGATGGAGGCAAGGGGGGATGTTAAGAGAAGGGGTCACTAAAAAGATAGAAGCAAGAGAACATGGGGAAAGATAAACAAGGACAGGAATAAATTAGAAAGATACATGTTAAAAGAATGCTCGACAGCCGAGAGGAGGTGATGCCTGCTTTCAATATCAGCACTCAGGAGGCAGAGGCAGGCGGATCTCTGTGAGTTTAAGACCAGCCTGGTCTACAGAGTGAGTTCCAGGACAGCTAGGGCTGTGACACAGAGAAACCCTGTCTCAAAAACAAAACAAAACAAAAACAAACAAACAAAAAGGGTTGACAATTGGACAGAGGAAAGGAGAAGCAGAAGTGAGACAGAAAAGAAACTAAAATCTCGAGAGCCAAGGGCCTCAGCACCCAAGAACTCCCTCCATCCCTCCATCTTCTGGGTCGCTAAGTGCCAAGGTGTGTTTCTGTCCACAGCCACAATCCCACTGCAGCAGCCTAGACCAAGAGCCCACCTCACTCTCTCCCTAAACTGTGTAATCAGCCCCCTGCTCTGCGCTCATCAGTGGAGCGGGGGCTCAAAGGACCCTGGGGGAGTCTCCTTGGCTCTTCCAGTCCAGTGTTTCTGCCTCTGGACAAGGAGTTCCCAGTGACGGGCCTGCTCTCCTCAGGGGTGACTGCAATTAGCTCAGTAACAAACTACAGAGTCTGGGCGCTCCCTTCATCTGAGAGGGTGGGGGAGGGAGAAGGGATGGCCTGACAGTGGGAGTATGGCCTTTCTCCTTAATTAGCCGACCCCCCTTCAGTCCTCACACCCCCAGTTGGAGTCACCATGGCAACAAGTGGGTGAGCAGATTGCCTGGGGAGGACACCAGGCCTGTGGGTGGTGAGGCAGGAACAGGCAAGAAGCTAATGAGGGGAATAGAAGTAGAAGAGCCACAGTGAGCTCAGAGGTAATCCAATTCCTAAGCCCCACAGCTGGCCAGCTGAGACACTGCTGGCCCATATGCATTAAGGTGGCCTGGGGACTGTTTCAGGTGATAGTCTGGCTTACAATGCTACCACCTGGCAATAAGGCCACCTTAGACTCTAAAACTCTGTTCCCAAGATCAGATCGTACTATCTTCCTTGTCCTGTCTCACCGGTGTGATTGATGCCTGTGCCAGGTGGCTGGCTGGTTGGGGCTGGGACATAAGACCAGCACTGCTCGGAAAGAATAGGAAAGGGCTATAAGGGCTTGTTGAGGTGAGCATTGTAGGAAGAGGAGGAAGTGCCTTAGAACCAGATAAAGGAAGTTGGGAGAACCCTGGAGACCTTTTGCTCTCAGATTCTTAACTCTAGTTATATACCAGGACCACTAGGGAGTTTAAAAATATATATACCCGCCTGGTTCACATGACATGCAGACCAACAAAGTCAAAATCTCCACAGACAGAACCCCACACATCTGTAATTAGAAAATGACCTCAAGCACTTTTCACCTGCAGCCAGGGATGAGAATGTCAGTTTTACCATTATATAGGTGGAGAAACTGAGGTCTAGCAAGGGGAGAAGAACTTGAGTATAACCACATAAAATAATGGTAGAGAAAGGAACTGGAAACCCGCTTTCATAATTCCAACTCCAGGAATCTTCTTCCTACTGAAAAATTCTCTTGGTAACTGGATCCTCAGCTAGGGGCCAGACACCAGGGGCTGGACAGGAGAGGAGAGCTGACAAGAACAGGCCTATTCTAGAATTTCAGAATCTTCAAATCAACCCATCAGAATGCCTTCTCCATTATGCTCTGTTCTCTTAGTGGAACCATCCTAGATCCTTGAGGGAGCAGGGATAGGGAACAAGAGGTAGTTAGGAAACCTTGAACTACCAGTACCCCCTTTTCCCCACCTCAATAGGGCCACCACAGGTCTCAATCAAGTTCTGGCTGCTACAGCCCAGTTGCTATGGGAACTGGGAGGGGAAGGAAATAGGGAATAACTAGAGGGAACACCAATTAACCCAAAAAAGGAAGCTAGGAAGTCTGTCTCACCCCTCCTCCTAGCTGGGCAACAGAACCACCCCTCAAACTGGAGGGGTGAGACAAAGGGGATCCCCACCTCTCCTGGGCCCTGCAATTGTCAGTTTAGGGAGGAGTGGAATGACCCAGCTAGCCTTATCCTCAACTTACTGGCTTGTAGCCCTGGCCAGGGCATTTTTGTTCTACATTCCTTTACAAAGAAATGTCTGACTTCATAGAGGATTGTGGCATAGCCACACCCCAAAGTCAGGCCTCAGGGCCAGAAGGTTTAGAGAGAGGAGGCCATTGGCAGCTCCTAGATTTGGGGCTGGAAATCCCTCCAAGGGGAAAGTTTCAGTTAGTTTACAACCAGGAAGCAAGCAGTTTCCTTCCTGATT